AAAGCATGGGATGACTTAATGTCGCTTAACTATGGAATGCAAGATTAAACAGAGCTTGAAGTAAAAATGACACAATGAACCCAACTTTTAAGAATACAAAAAAGGATATAGGATTGGAACAAGGCGAAAATAAACCCAATGGAAAACATAAAAGATATTAGCCCTGAGAAAACTAATATTACATTTAATTGTCCGGTGTGTACGATAGACTTACCCCCACGTGGTGCATCCTAGGCAACGTTTACTCATACGGCAAAAAAGTCTATTAACTGGCAGTTAACCTCTGACTTCAAACTACCATCACCCCACTGTATGCCATATTCGACCACTTCCACACTACGCACCTTTCCTAATTTTCTCTTCCCCTGTGTCTCTCTTTCACAGCTGTGAAACATTCTTCTGTTCTCCCTCTCGACTTTTTGTGACTTTAATGTTCCTCCTCCTCTCCGCGAAACCCGACGTCAACTAAAGGGCTAATGATAACTATCAGAACGCCTGCCTTTCATTTTCCTTGCTTTATTACTAAAGGTACGACTAACCCTCAATTTGTTTAAGTGAATCTATATGAATTAGGCAGCGCTATATATAGTCCGAATTGAACTGTACTAAGTTTCCACTTTTAACAATGAAAAGGTTGGATTTTGCTTTAATTCTTCTGGCCGGGGGGGGGGGGGGGGGGGGGGTGGTATCATTGAGTTAATTGCTCCAGCAAGTAGAACTGAGTGAGTGTAAGAATTAAGAAATTGTACAGGAAGTCAAAAGACAGTAAAGCATCCAGCATGAATGTGAACAGTGACTTCTCATATCTATCAATATAAAATGGTCAATCGAAGGCATATGTCTTAATTAGCCCAAAACCCAATTGACTGCCCTTTTCAGTATCATTGATCATTAACATGCAGTCGATTACATTATTAATATCACTTTCCATCATTATTTAAGCAAATACGATCCACCAGGTATAGAATTTGCCCATAAAAATTCTAAGGAAATATACAACACCTCTGACTAAAAAAGTGTTATGAAACAGGTATAATTTTGTCACATATGTTGGTTGTTAGCATTTCTGATATGGCAGATTCAAACTTTAAAGCAGTTTCAGTAGGTTTTAAGAATAGAGAACAATGACTATCTTTAATTAATTAACAGCTATTTAACATTAAAATAGACAGTGGGTCCCTAACTCCATATTTTGAGGTTATGACAGTAGACATGACTCTAGTAAATTTGTAAATTTACGACAAGGAACAACGATCGCCCCACTTTATGGTTGCTGAAAGTTTGGAAGCTCCGAAACCCAAGACGAATTGGTATTGTGGATATAAGACCATTTGAAGAAAACGCCATTTAGGAAAAAATTCTTTCATATTAAATGCCTATAAAGCATGACAGAAGCGGAGTACAAATTTCAATTAAGAAGAACCAGAAAAAACGTAGTATCCCCCTTATAAATAACCAATTAAAATAATCAATGTCTAGATTGAATCGTGCAATAATAAACTACCTGAATATTGGTCCAAGGCAAAAATATCGACAAATATGCTGAATAAATTAGATGGGCACAAGTGCAAGGCTGCATACTTGCGGTTTTAATCTACAGTCTAAATAAGCACATTGACAAGAAATGGATTTACGGAAAGAACTGTGAGTTGAAAACTAGAGGCGAAACAGAAAAAAACCTGAACAAAAAAGGAATTTCGATGGTAAAAATACGGTGAGTGACACACTTTCCATATCTCAGCTCAATGAAAGACTTCATCTTAGCAGAAGCTTACAACCCACCCGGCTTCACTTCTACTAATCATTGAGTTTGTCCTCATCAAAGGCGACTTTGTCGTGATTGATCTCAAAAGATCCCAGCACACAAGAACACTTATGATCTGTCTTGACGATATTAGCGATTTATTTCATGTTCATTTACCTATAACATTGACAAAAAACATGTAATCAACAAATTTAAGATTCAAACCACTGAGTAACTAACTTTGTGCAGTGTACAATTTGATCGAGGTAACAAGATATTGCTATATATACATAAAGTTTCAACATCCTTACATTCCTCTTCTTTTTCTTCTCTCTTGCAAATATTTGACAATAGTAGGCGGAATTGCACTAACTATGCTCACTGATTTCTATATGATACATACCACGTATATCGATAGTTTTGCCATTAAAAATCAAAAGTTTAGAAAGTGTCAGGCGAACAGGCATTACCTTGTCAAAGATTGAAGGGGAATAGCTTGGAGGCATCCAAAAGTAGAGAGAGAGAGCTTAAGTCTATGCAGTCACCACTTAAATATCGCAAGAGGATTCAAACGAAAAGTTAATTCCCTATTAGGCAGTAAAGGAGTTTAAGTGTGTTCAAAACCATGCTATAAAATTGAAAAAATAATTGCTCGGGCAGATTAGAATAGAAACACGCGTTCGAACCAAGTGGCTGAGGTCATATACGCTGTAATGGAGCTTCCAAAATTCAAGGAAATTGGAGGAGAATGCTTGTTCTTATTATGTACCATTCGGTAAAAACGGCCCAATAACTAGACTAGCTGATTCTCAAAATATTAAGGCTTCTCACTCAACGCGCGCGTGTGTGTGTGTGTGTTCGTTCAATCGACTAACCTGGAGGACCAGAAGGTCTAGGGGTAGGGGGAGCAGAGGAGAAAGGATTTTCTCCCGAAGCCTCTCCTTCGTCTTCATCTTCTCCCTCGTCTTCCTCGTCACTCGATTCAGAGATTGTCATTGTGATGTTCTCCTGAGGAGTGAGGTTCCATTCAAAGTAGAGACCAAAGCCGAGGTCGTAGGAGTCCGTAGCGAATTCCCAGACGATGCTTGTGCCCTCTGCGTGGGTTGGGACTCGCAACTGGAAGATAGAAGAAGTCATTTTAATGCATAAAATGAATTCTCCAGTAAGAATAGCAATTCTAGAATGGTAAGGCATAGTCCGGTCGTAAACCAGTTAGTCGAATATTTCCGTTCTTTAGTAGCAATATAAATGACTTTAAGCAAAACACCAGAAAGTGTGAAAGATTCGAGAAGAGATCGTGATAAAACGAAGGTTTCTACATAGAATGAACGGAAAAGAGAGTAAGCAAAGCTAGCCTCCTAAAGTATGACTTCTCAAACACCACTGCGTAATAGGTGAAATAGGCGCTCATAAGAAGGTTCTACTCCTATGTGACTTAGAAATAGGACATATAAGAACCCACTTTCTCGAAAACAGGAGATTTTGAAATCTGGGGCAAGCCTAAACACACACACACACATTGCCTAGTCCACGTTACCAAAAGGACGGAGAGAGAATGCGAAGCCTGGGAGTTGAAACCCAAAGTTCAAATAGACTTTGATAAAGTGCCGAGAACAGAACAAAATACATAATGGCAAAATTGAGGCACTGAAGAGCTGGATAACTTCGATCAAGACGTCTCCAGTGCCAATAAAAGAGAAGTATAGGATAAACTGATGGATTTGAGCTTATGAATGCTAGAAAAGAGAGGAAATTGGGATAGGGAGCGTTCAACTAGATATAACTCAAACAATTTCCCACTGATCACCTACTTAGCTTAAAAATGCACCAACTCAGGATCTGGTCAAGTAATAAATAGAAAGAACCTGCCATAAGCGATTCAACCAATTATATAAAAAATCAGCTGCAAAACTTCAGGATGCAAGGGGCAACTGTTAGGGGTAGAAATCTCCGACCCCAAAGCAGACAGAAGACACGTCGGGAAAGCATTGCATGGCCGTCCCCCCCCCCCCTCCCACCCCCTCCTTCATCAGGGGTTGAACACACCTGGAAGGGCACCAAAGTCATTAGCGAAATTTATGATCAAGTGCTTGCCGTTTTAATTTTGTTTTGAAATGCTCTACTTCTTATGACAGAGTGAGAAATTTTTGCCCAAATCCAGGGCTGACAAATTTGAAAGATCTATTCACTTTCAGCTAAATTTCAAATAGTCTTAGTCACTACTGCATTAATTTATATATATATAATTAAAATAAGAAATCATCCAGCTAGTTTTCCTAGCAAATATTCTCTCATATAAACTATCAATGACAAGACCAACCCCATGTCATTATTGAATTTGAGATCTGTTGTTGACTTTGTGACTAATTGGATTATGACAGTTAACAACAAACCCATTTACTGCGTATTTCGGTGCAACCCTACTAGGAACAGACAATATGGACGCTAGCACATAATGTGATTTAATGGACTGTGCTACATTCAATCATAGTTATCGCCTTTCTGACAGCGAGTCACAAACCACCACGTACACCTATTGTGCATGGAGGTGCGCAATAGACATACCTCCACGTGGTGCACCCTGGGCAACGTAAACTCATACGCAAAAGTCAGAAATCAACTAGCAGTTGACTTCTGACCTCAAACTGCCATGACCCCATTGTATGTCAAAGTCGACCATTTCCACAATACTCACCTCACCTTACCTCTTTTCTCTACCGCTGTGTTTCTCTTTTACATCTGTGAATCACTCTTCTGTCCACCCCCCCCCCCCAACCCCTCCCTTATATTCCATCCCTCAGTGAAGCCCGACGTCAACTAAAGGGCTAATGATAGCTAGTATAAAGCCTGTCATTTGAGAAAAATCAATTTCTTCAATCAAAAATGCTTGATTCATCAAAATTATTATTTTTGGATTAATGAACTAGGTAGTAATAAATTGCTGTGAAATTGCATCAATTTGAATTAATCAGGTGCCAAAATAAATAAATAGGCGTAGTATTAAATATTGCTGTTAGGCGAAGAGAAGAAAACTGTACTTATTACTAAATATGATGCAAAATCCTAATATCACAAAAATAATACTTATAAAAAACATATTAAAATGACTTTATAGAATAAAATGTACTCATGATGAATTCAGTCAAAGGCAATCTGTGCATTTTGTGACTATTATTATTATTATTACGCATTACAAAGTAAATCTTTCAACCATTAATAACCCCTGGAAAAAGGGAAACAGAAATTGATTGAGGAATGTCCGACTAAAACTTCGCTGTGTCTGGGCTCAGCGAATTAAGTATAAAGAAGGTTAGTTGACCAGTATAACGACAGGGTTTTTAAGAAAATATCATTTCATTCCATCACGGAATTTATTTGACCAGTAATTGCAATAGTGACGAGGTTATACTACCAGCTGATAAACCAGCTGTACGAGAAATGAAGTCACCTAAATTCGTTCACATCCACTGGATCCATATAACAAACACACGTGTAGGTATATAAACAAGAAGAGGAAAAGATCGACGTTTAACCTAGGCAACTGGGTTTTCTGCTAACCGTGTTTACTTGATTCCCACAGTTGAAGATAGAGGAAAAGTTCTGATTTACTATTTGCTAAAACAATAACAATAACTTAGGCAAACGCGAACTTACTTCCAAATGAGTACTAAAGGATAGGGTATCTATTTTCACCAGAGGTGATATCAGAATAGCAGGAAAAAAGGTTAAATGCCAGCAGTTTTTCTCCGAGAGGACACGCACAATCGCATTAAAGCAGGCACATTTTATTAAGTGAAAGCTACCCGTGATGCCATGACTAGTCATAGTGGCACAAAAATCACAAACAGTAAAATAGTGAGTTGCTTTCTTCGGCTTTCGATAACAATGTTTAGTAATTGGATGAGATGATAGAAGTTATTTAGATGAACCCCTTAAATATCGGCAATGAATAAGACGTATGGAAAGACTAGCCCGAGGCAGATTCCATAAAATCGAGAGTTAGATCTCAAGGCTCGGGTACAATAGTTAAACCAACTAGTTTTGGAAATCTTTAATTAAAAATAGGAAAAAAGGAATTACTGTAACTGACTATTGAAAACTCAGGTAACAGAGAAGTTCACTTATTGACTTACTGTAGCTGAGGCCAGTGAAGATATTTTAATGCAGCATTCACGATGATTAGCAAGAATGTCCTTCTTAAAGTCCGCAATATCCTTCCTCGTCCACATACTGGCCGGAACCAAAGGAAGCGGGATTGGTTCACCTGTAAAAGTAAATAGAATATGCCATGAATCAGTGGGTGCGTGTTAAGTGGTTCAATAAAAATTAACCAATTATAATTTACCAAGGTCGTCATCTTCATTTGCACCATTCGAATTTAAACGGGAAGCTTCACGTAACTCAATCAGTTGATCGATTTGATTCTGTTGGTTTATCATTTGAGAACGCTGAACATCCTCCATGTAATAAGCAAAGTACTGGTCTTGCATATTACGGACTGATTCATCTTGCTAGACAAGCAGATAAGAGATTAAAATTTCAATTTAATTGACAACCTTAGCAATGTCCTTCGGGTACTGTTCTTGGGCATATTTTCTGAATTGGATAATACATTGTTGTTCCAGGATAGAACGCAGAGCAGCTCTAGCATAGAAAAAACAAATGATAGTACAACTAGTGAATATACGAAGTATTTAAAGCAAAAAAACTAGCCATTTCAATTCGGATACATTAAGCTCACGTAGGAAACATTGTACCATACAAGGCCATTTTAATTTCCCAACCCTATTAAAAAATGAATTTATCAGTGACTAAACACATTATTTACCTAAACAGTAGATGAATCATGAAATCTGAGGCATGAAACACAATCTACCCATTAAATATTGTACAATTTGAAACCAAAATCAAATGAAAGACTATGTTTTCAACATCTTTCGATCCCTCCACTTTGTGACTTAAGGGTCTGAGGTCACTCCACTTAAAAAAGTGTATATTCCATCATATTGTTGGTAATAATAGCATAAATAACAAAAGCAGAAAGATATCGCGGCGTAAAATAGCATAGGTTAAGCAGTCACAATTGTATAACTAGATGCAAATGAGATAAAGCAACGACAGCGATAGATTTTGTCAATAGGAAATTATTTCACTATGATTAAAAATTGCAGGCAACATCGGATTCAACCACAATTTTTATTCTAAATCAGAACTCATCCGAAGATGAAGTATGAGTTCTCGCTGTAATTTTGAAAAAATAATAGGTACAAAGAAATAATGACTGTTTGGCGTAAAGTGAAATGTGAAGAAAGCCAAATGACAAATTTTAAATGATACTTCCACACCATATGAAGAAATAGAATAAAAAGGGGAGACAGATCAGAAAATAAAATTTGATTTTACAATAATTACGCCCATAACAGTTAGTTATTATTATATTATAAATATGACCACTGCACTGCAAAAACCGATTAACTTTAATGAACGTAAACGATCTAAAATAAATGAAAGCAACGAGTGATTAAAAGGATAGCATTTAAGCCAAACTATATGACATATTACAGAAAAGAGATTTTAGTAAAAACACCAGAAACCGATATTTTCTCCCTATGAAGATGTGTGTTGAAAGATTTCAACGGACTAAATCTCTCATTTAAAGGTTCGAGAAGATCGAACTTACAGGGTAATATAATAAATAAACAGATAAAAACTCAAGAAAAAACACACTCATGTTGACGTCTTTCTTCTTCCTCTGGAGGATTTTCGCTGGAAATATCAGTTTCTTGTTCAGCATCCGGTTGGTTGGTTTCTACATTCTGCCCGTTGGGAGGAAATTTCACAACTTGTGAATCTAAAGTATCCGTTTCTACTGCGTTTCCAGACATTAGATTTGGATGTCAATCATAGACCTAAAATATATTAGCAAATGAGTAAAAAACAGTGTTAACTAGCAATTCGTTTTAATAATAAAAAATTAACTCTAAATACTAAGTTTTAAGCGTCTGCTAACAACTCCAAAAATTATAATACTGATCAACATAGCCTTTATAAATTACAACAATTACGTCAAACGCATTTGGGAGAATCAAAGTACTTACTGAGAGATATTACGAGAGCACTAAGTAAGTTGAAAGTAATAATACCTTCTCGAGTTTATATTTGATAATTTTATCTTTACTAATGGGAAAATGCATATAATAAAGGTTCACAAAAACTAACCAATGAATAATACGAATTTATGACCTTAATTAATGTTTGTATTTTTGTTAACTTAAACTTTTCATGTTTTCATTAATTCGGTTCTAAATTCTACAATAAAATACTTTTACGTTATTGACCCACTTTTAAGTTTATTAATGTAATTACATACGAATATTTTGTAAAAGAGTATACAATATATAAATCATAGTAACCCAAGTGAACTAAATATTCAATCTGACGTAGGTATCAAATTTAGGGTTCCAATTTAATGTATAATTTATTTTTCAACATGTATGTATTTTTAATGTATATTGAAATCAAGTATTTGTGAAATTCAAATCTTATATATCTATATTCCCACCCAAAATAATTCAGTTGATCAAACATTTAATCAAAATTTACTATTGTCTTCTCTAGTATAAATCAACAGAAAAATCTAATTCTCCCGTGAATGGTTTCTAGTTGTAATTGTAGATTGGGTGCGGCTTCAAAGGTGGTCTTAATCATATTAAACATTCCCTTCATTCCATGTTACTATAGATTAAAGAGCATTACTTAATTTGCCATAGGAGATATTGCATTTTCGATTTAGATCAATATAACTCCTTTGAGTTTTAAATAGTGTAGCAGTGACATAAATCCTGGACAGCATAGATATCTTGATACCATTCCTGAAGACGTAAAATCGACTTTTACTAACTAAATAAAGTAGTCTAGAAAGATGAAATCCAGAAGAATGAGGAGACGTATGTGTGGTTGGGTAAGGAAGCTATGCAGTTTATGCATTAGTGCATGCATTGAAATAGTTCAGAGAGTTGAAGGAAAAGGAAATGAAATTAAAGTAGTAGAAGATGTTTGCGGGTAGAAAACGAGATTAAGTTTACTTGGAATGCATTGCACTTGACTATTAGCTGAGGAAAATAGAATGGTCATGTCATTTCGAAGAAAGACAATATATATATATATATATATATATATATATATTATTAAGGGTAAATCGAGTCCAGTTGAAGGTATAGTTGAAGGCATTTAGTTATCTGGAAAATCTTGATGATGGTCTTGAAATACATATCATTTCAATGATAAAAGTTTAGATAATAGGAAAATTTATTTACTTGAGGTGTTAGGGGAATTAAATCATATATGTCTATATGGGAAGACTGGCAGCCGTACAGGTACCATATACCCATCTGAACCGCTTCTGATGGGAGGCAAATATTATTAACAATGCTAATGAAATTGTGCCTGTTTATCCAATATCAATAACTTTGGATCAGTTGTCGTTAATTTACATTTGTTCTCTATAGCACAAACTCTTGGTCAAATTAATATACCTTTTCAAGAAGTAAAGGAAGGAAAATACAGAAGTAATTGGCAAATTAAAAAATATAATTTTTATATTTATATTTTTTACAATACATACTTACATAATAGTTACCTCTTATCTGTTCAAGAGTACTGGTAAAACTGAGAATGGTGATATGCATTATGGGTATTTAAGGTAACTGGCGTCCTACGCTTCATTCGTGCTCTTTCCATTATTAACTATTCACCTTACTCGCCCTAAGTGCATTATAATTCTGAGTATTTCCAACGAAGAATACATTTTACCCATATTAATTTAGGACATATTTAGTGTTGAAATTCCATTTTTTCTTATTATTTGAATGGCTTTCAACTCCCAACCTTCTCCATAACTGACAAATAGAAAATTGTCCTATTACAATTTTTTTCATTTTCTAGTTTAGCAGAATTAATTTCTTTATACTCTAAAGACAAAACAAAATTCATCACGACGAAAGTACTAATTTATTAATACCCTATTTGGGGAGATTTGTATTTGTAAGTAGTGAAATTACTCAGAATATCCTAATATCGTGTAACTACCGAAATACAGTTCATATAATTACTAAATTATATATCAGATATCTTAGTGAAATTAGTTAAAGCACACAAGTGAGAGACTAAACACTTGCACAATTCTTCATTGTTCGATTTTGATCCAGACTTTCTTTACAGAAGTCTATGTAAATATTTTTTCGGGTAATTCCCATAATGATATCAGCACTCTCAACCTATTCAATTTGTAAAATTAATGAAATAGCTCTGGAAATGATGTTCCAGATTATTCAGGGTAGAAGAAAATGTTGAGAAGCATGTTTCACAAATCGCTTTAAGATAGGAGCATTAAATACACAATTTGCTTTTATCAGATCATCCACATTGAGAACAATTAGTAATTCTTACTTAACGTTTAAAATAGATGTACGCATTTTATATCCAAAACCTTAAAAAATTGCTAGCTTGAGAACGGTCACCTTATTCGAACGTAATTAATCCGAATAATTGACAATGAAATATTTCAAAAGTGTTCATCATTTCTGCAGTGCCGGTATTTATGCTATAAGGGTTTTAATTAGCAATATATATTATTTTACATTGCTAGCAATAATTTTGCTCATTTGGTTCATCGTTACGCTTAACTTTTACATGCATGTCTTTAAATTACATCCACACTACTACTTATTTCTTTCTCACATCCGAACAGTGACATCTGTAGGATTTTCAATGGGATGTGAGATTATCTGTAATTGACTTCTCGCCACCCGATCAATGCCATGACTTAGACGAGCGAGTGATCAACTCTACTAATGAAGGCGATTTCATGGAATAGAACGTTTTTTTTGAAACCTACCCTTTCATGTAAATATTCTTTACCTTCTATCTATTTACTTCCAACCCCTCAATCCAATTTTGTGAAAGAATTTATTTAGTTTGCCTTTCATTCCAAAGTACGTAACACCACAGAGAAAACGTTTTGTTGATGATATATTTATTTATTTATTCATATCAAATGGCAGGCGTTTTGATAGTTATCACATTATCCCTTTAGTTGACTTCAGGCTTCACAGATGGGAAGGAACATCAAAGTGAAAAAGGTCGAGATGGGGGGGGGGGACAGAAGTGTTTCAAAGGTGTAAAAGAGGCAGACACAAAGTTGGAAAAAAGGTGAGGTGAGTACGGTTGAAATAGTCGAATTTGACATACAGTGGAGTGATGGTAGTTTGGAGTCTGAGGTGAACTGCAGGTTAATAGACTTTTTTGTCGTATGAGTATACGTTGCTCAGGGTGCACCACGTGGAGGTAAGTCTATCGCACACACCTGTTGAAGATATGTAGGTTCGCAATTGTAAATAGTGTAATTACTTTTGCTAAGTGATCGCTACCTACTTAAACAATCAATTATGAGTATCTAGGTGTCTGAAATAACTCATTGCTGCTTCTAGATTGAATTCATACATTACATTTTGCGATTTCCGGAGTTGATGATGTTTTTTTATTGTTCCCCATCTCGTTTGCTTTTATAACTGTCGTGTCTTAAATGAACAGACATAAATAGTTTACTCATAAGTCTTCCTACTTGGGTTTTAAACTCAATACTGTATTCTATAAGATATTGAAAAAATCAATCACGCGCTGCGAAGGAAACTCGGTTGACTCTCATTCATGTAGAATTCAAAATGCGAATTGTATTTCTTAAATTTTTATTTTCTATTTCATTCTATTCATAACTGTGCAGTTCAGTAGGGACACACGTTCAAAATACGTTTAAACCACCCACTTTAAGGTAAAGCAATTACAACGAAGTGATTCAACTAATATGAAAAAATAACCGTAACATAATAAGGGAAAAAATCAATAAAAATATTTTTTTACTCTATCAAAAAAACATGAAACAATAGATAATTAGATAGTGCAGGTTTAGTTGACACACGACCACAACACAATCTTTTTGCCTCGTTCACAAGACGCAATCTGATCTCCTCTTGGACTCCAACTTGTGCATAGAACCATATTACTGAAAAGGAGTTAAACAGTAGTATTAGATCAAATAACCATGATGGTGACGGCGTTAGCAAGAGAATAGACTTACTCATGACCATGTAGGACTTTTTCCAATTTGCACGTTTCTCTATTCCAAATGAGGATATCACCATTTTGAGACCCACAGGCAATATAAGCACCATCAGATGAGAAGCAAGGGCGAACAAAATCCGAATGAACCTTGAAGTCCTCCGCTTGGAAAGATTGAAGCACTTCATCTCGCCGAAAGTCAACTATGTAAAGGGAATTGCTGCGAGTGCAAGCGGCGACAAATCTTTCATCTGAAAATTAAATGCATTTACTTTTTAGAATTACCGCATCTAAACTACTTGATAGATATTAAGCAGCTAAACACACCACTTGAGATATCAAGCCCAGTAATACGACCAGAAAGCAGAGTTTCTCGAGCCATTTGAAATGAATTTACATCCCAAAAGCGGATCTTTTTGTCCGAATGGCCACTGACTACGGTGCTGGTCGTTAAAGAAACGGCAAGATCATAGCATAACGATGTCAAAGGAAGAGTTCGTGAGCAGCGTCTCTGCTCCAGTGACCAAAACTAAAGCGTGCATGAAAGTACATAAGTAAGAAGCAATGCCATTAATTCACCAAATCCTAATTGGTTAGTTTAGATGATAATTGGTATAGCTTAGATTATTAATTACCTCTGCAGATAAGATATTGTGATTAATAATGTTAGGTCAACATGAAAAGGCGAACCTTGATACAACGATCCATGGAGGCTGTGACGATATTATGACCACTAATACCGGAGCCGATAAAACGTGCCGTCATGACGCGGTCGGAATGCCCGGTTAAGTTTACCCGCATACGCCGGTCCTCCAAATTGAAGACACGACAGGCGAAATCACTTGAAGCACCGAGAACCATGCGCTCCTGTTGAATGATGAAAAGATGACAAGAATAAATAGAAAACGGAATTTTCCAAAACTGTTAAAGTGCTATGCTCGGCATGTTACCCACATAGCAGCAAACATGCTTTGAGTAAAAGGTGCATTTTGAGTCATTTTTCAATGGGCCCTCTCAAACTAGACCAATAGGAATGACAAAATATTAAATTAACTTTCTCTCTTTATATTCGCCTTTCAACTCCTGTCTAATTCACATGGAAGTCTGGGAGTCTGACCTCCAGTCTTCTGAGTCATGTTGAAAACAATAACCGATATGCCCTCACATTCTATGGTATACTATCATACAATTTATTAAAGAGATATCCGATAATAAAATCGCGCTGAATGGAATGTTCGAAAGGTGAAAGGGAAGAGAGCAGGGAAATTGATTTATCAAATAGGCGACCAGGTCGCAACAGACCCAACACCTAGAAGTGCACATGAACAGAGCTGGCAGCAAGTGCTAGCCAGGGTTTAAAAGGTGGTCGTATGAAGTCGCCTTTAGGACTTCGATAACTCCAGGAAGGAAGAGAAGAATCAAATTATGAAACAATGTGATGCATGAAATTGTAATCATTTTCTTTCAAGTTCTGAACTCTAAAATAGTTCCTTTGTTTTAGAGACAATCACTGGAAGAAATCTCCACTTCTCTGTGGGATTAAGAATGACTAAGATTTAGAGTAATTTGCTTATAAATACATTCTCATCAATGGACGTTTATCACAAATTTGCATCACACTATGCCGCATTAAACAAGATAATGTTACAACGCAAGGAACGAGAGCTGTATGTAAACTAATTATAATCAATATTGTGATAAAATTTTGATCCAGAGTGAACATTTAACGCAATCAAATAGAGCGCAACTAACTAATTGGAAGAAAATGATTAGAGACTGAGGAATTACGTGATAATTGCAAGAAAATTAACCAAACTCCTTTCCATTTCTCTATTTGCACGCAGAATTGAAGAAATAACTTCAGAATTGGTCTTTACAATACTAATCTTGACTGCCTAACTCAATGGCAATTGTTCCTGGTTAATACTTTGTTACAAGTAGAGATGCATTTCTAATTGTCACGAAATTTGCTTTACTTTATCGGCAAAGTTAATTGAGTATATCGTCCGCAACCATGAAGGTGACACTCAATAGCTACAGTCATTACTACAAGCCCATACAAGCGTTGTAGTGGTCAACTTCTTACACAAAAGGTACCCAAAATTGGCCTTACAACAACCTGTAGAAAGACAAACAATACGAATCTTTTCCCACTAGAAAAAGTCGAGTCAAGATAATAGCAAAGAAAAGGAGATAACTTGGATTGTATACAGTACAAAGGACACTTTTTGAGCTATGAACTCCCAGTCCCCCCCCCCCCCCCCCACCAACTAGTCATTAATTTCGGAGGTGTGTCCTCCGCCGAGGATGACGTGATACCTCGACATTTGTTTTAAGAAGAGCTCCAGTAGAATTCAGATGCCTATGTAAAATTACTGAACAGTGTTTCGCCTTCGAAGTCCCAGATCTTAATCTGATACTAATCATAGTGCCAGTACTACAAAAACCAGTCAGTAGACAAAAGTAAAGCCGCATAACGCCATCTTGAACCAGGTTCTGGAGCAGGATCAAGACTATGATAAATGCTAATTTTTGATGAGACGCTTTTACAATGGTGTCCACTGTTACTCGTTTAAATCAACTAAACCCATTTTTTCCTGAGAAGATTGTTGGAATTCTCAAACACACTGCACAACCAACGAAATTCCCAAATAATATATCAATTGTTTCAGACAAATGGCGTGAAACCATTGAATGCATTCTATGAAATCCGAATATATCTAGAACGTCGAAAAGACCACAACGTACAAGAAAAAATATGCATCATTATTGTTTTAAGAAATCTATGTCGTCTCTGAAAGCCACCTTTTACATAAAATAAATTAATAAATAGTTTCCCTCTGCGAAATAAAGAGCAATAACTGATAAAATGAAAATTAAAGTTATAACTTACCTCTGGGTCAAAGTCCACAGCATTAACGCCAGCATTACAGACTCCCAAGGCAAAAGGGACATCAAAATTATCTATAATATAGGTCATCATGAAAATTTGAGAGGATTAACGAAGTACCATTCTTCACCATCGCGACATAGACCCTCTTATCAAACCCTCCATATGCAATTTTCGTTCCAGTTGGACTAAATCGAACGCAATACACATCTTCCGCCAACGGCTAAAGAATCAATAGCAATCAATGAATAAATTAATGAAAATTATTTCACAATTGTTGCTGTGCTACGATTAGGAATGGATGAAACTGCAGCTGAACTTCGAAAAGATGGCTCCTCGTCGCTTGATAGAGGCAATCCAGCAGCATCTAAGAGGCCTTTTTGAATCATCTGCTTTTCGAAACTAAGTGAAAAAGGAAATAAATAGATTAATAGGGATCGCACTATAATTTCAGATCAGATTCAATATTTTTTCGCTTTTCCAGTTCAGACTGAAGATGACTTATTTGGGTGAGATACAGAGATATATCCTTATTAAGTTCGACCTTATCTCGTTCAAGTTGTTTCACTGAAAGAGTTGCTGCTGTCTGTTCATCCAATAAGACATTATTAGCACTTTCTAATCCCTCTATTTTCTCCAAACACTGGCGATTTATTTTTTTAGACTCCTCAAGTAGTTTGTTCAATTCATCGATTCTAAAAAACAGTTATGAAAAAGTACACAAACTTTTGATTCAAATTTTCGATTTGTGTCTGTTTACTTTGAACGTCATTTGAAAGCTAAAAAACTAGGACAATGCAAAAAATCAATACCTTCGCATTCTGCCGATGAAGTTCAATTAGTTCTGATTGTAATTGAATAAGCTTCTCTTGCATTTCATGAGCCCCAGTTGAGTTTTTAAAACCACTAACGAAAACATATTAAATTTCATAAGGCATACCCAGCGGAGGGTTGGAATTTGAGTTCATTTATTTGCCGATTTAATGTAATAACTTCTTGTGAAAGTGAATTCCGCTTCGTCTCGGATTCAATGAAACGGTTACATAATTTTGTGTCTGTAAGAATAATTACGAATAGCGAGAAAATTACAATTTTCTACAATAGCTGAATATTCTCTACTTTGATTTTCATCTCTAATTGAGAGTCTAGAAATAATTTCATTAATAAAGCCGTTCGCGACTAATGTTGCCATTTTTAACAGCTGATTTCCAATATTTACTCTAAGCGGTTAATGAATAGTTAGTTTAAACCTTAGAACTTTTAAGATACAATAACTCTTTTAATGATATAAGAAATTTTTCCTATATTGAGCAATCTTTTTGTTTATTCAAAATTTTTTTATGTTCTGATGAACTTTAACTCGATATAATAGCAGCAAATCCAATATTAAAAAATTTAAAGTGAGCTAATTGAAAGATTAAAATTAGTGCTTTTTATTTAATTAAATAATTATATTTTTGAATACTAATGAATGTATTGCCTGTAAGTACAATAACCTATACAAAAATTATATAAACTTTGAGCTTGTGTGTGTAGTCGAAATTGATAATGGTTAATATTTTGTTTTTGTTAGTCCTATAATTACTCGGCCGAATACTTGTCAACACTTTAGCAACTTGAATAACATCAATTAATTCAGTAAATAATTCCATAACAAATGACCTCTTTCAAGCGCTTAGTGGAAAATAAATACCAGTACAATAAAATTAATAAAATTTTTGCTTATTTATTTATTTACAATGGCATTCTTTATGAAATTTAACATTAGCTCATAGTTGACCTCGTTCTACACAGAGGTTAGGAAAATTAAAATTCAGGAAAAGCCTTGAAGGGGAACAGTAGAGTGATCCCCAAATGTAAGAGACAGACAAAAGGTAGAGAAAAAGTATGGTGGGGTGAATAATGGGGAAGTGATTGAATATGACATGCAATTAAGTCTTGGTAGCTTGAAGTCAGAAGTCAACTACCGGTTTATAGACATTATTGCGTATTAGTAAACGTTACCCAGGGTGCCCCACGTGGAGGTAAGTCTATCGCTCATCCATTTAATCGAATGTATTGCTACTTTTCAAAGGCATGTTTCTTCAATTTTTTAGATGTATACAGCTAGCTGGAAGACTTACTCTACCTAATAGTTGCAACCATATTTATAAAGTTTGAATTCAGACCAAAATTTTGGTATTTGCGAGATTTCTTGCTTATTCTGCCACGGAAAAAAGCATTTCCGGTACAAATCAACTCAAAAATTGAATACATTCAGTTTTGCCGTATTCGTAAAAAATATCAACTTAATTTAAAACTTGATGGCGAAAAATGTTTCATTCTAGAAAATGATATAAAATTACATCAATACATAAAATACATTTAGAATGGGAGTAAATAACATATAAACCCAACATATATCTGAAAATCGGGGTGTGCGATAGACTTACCACCCTGGGTAAATTATACTCATTCGACAAAGAAGTCTATAAATTGACAGTTGAATTCTGATCTCAAACTACAATGGTCCCACAGTATGCCATATGCAACCAATTCACAGTACCCATCTCCCTTTTTTCTGCCTCTGTGTCTGTCAGTCTCTTTTACATCTTTGAATCTCTGTTCTGCTCCCCCTCTCGATTTTTTCTCACTTTGATGTTCCTTCCCTCTGTGAAGCCCGA